GGGCTCTCTGCCCTATTAGCTCTTCCAAGGTGAGCTGTCCCATAATGTTGAATGATCCGGTAAATTCACTTTCTAAGCTACTGCTGATACTAAATATGCTGTTAGGTGTTCACGGACTGTCCTGTTATGGTGAGGGCCATAACAACACACACAAAGACTGTGAAACCTCACCATTTTGGGAGGCTCCGGGTGTGCGCGCTGTGCAGTAAAGTGCTCCAGGACCTCTTGGTAGTCGCTGTGGCTGACGTTGTTACCGTTGACTTTCAGGATGACCTGGCCGGGCTGAAGACCTGCCCCTGCTGCCTCCCAGCCTGGAGTGTGTCAACACAGGATCAGAAGTGAAAAGTGTGGCAGAAACACAGCGGAACTGTATACAAGACATGAAACTGGAAGAGTTAAAAGTGTCGTCCATGTGTCTCCCATTTCCAGGGAAAAGTCTTTTCCAAAGTGCTTAAATTGATGTATTTAGTTTATTTTCTATGTCCTTTTTAAAATCTCCTTTTGGCCTCTATTTCAACATCTGTACCTTTTGTTCCTTCAAGAAAATAGAAAATGATTTGGCTCAGTACTGAAACATGCTGTCCCAAGCTACTAATGGCTTTACAGCTTAGAACTCCAATCAACACCTCATCATCTTCCTCTCCGATCTAAAAATACCACGGCTGACATCACTTCCACCCAGGGTTCCAGCAATTATCTTACTCCAGGGCTACTGACCCACGCATGGATAGCACACAGGGGGACTGATTTAGTAACTGAAAGAAAAAACAACTGGTCTCTGATTTCAGAAGGAAAAATCTGCTCTTCATAACACTGGCAGAGATCCAGACATGATACAGGACTTAAGGAAAGGCAGATGGATCATGAAGAGGTAGGAGAAAAGAGAGAAGGAAGACAGAGGGAAAGCAGAGAAGTCTCCCTGCCATAATAAGGAAAACTAAAATCATGATAGCACATTCTTTGGCCAACAGGCAGCTCCCCTCCTCACTGTTTGTGTGCGTGTTCTCTCCTACTCCAGTCTGGTTTACACATTGGCATTCAACCGTGATCCAACTTGTCATAAAACTAATTTTACTATTTTGAGACAATCTAGGCAGCACAAACATCTGGTGGGGAGGTTCTAGGGAGGGAGTAGGAAGAATGAGAAGGCAGAACAAAAATATGGATGTTGTCTCTGTTACCTATTGCAGTTTTAGCTCAGATCACAGAGCACTGTATGTGTGTGTGTTTCAAAAGTAGGCTTTGGTCTATTAGGGGTTTGAAACCTGACCCCAGGCTGTCTGGCTGACAGGTGGCCATATAAAACCTGTTAGAAGCTGAGGCTGGTATTGTACAGTACCTTGTTTTCCCCTTGAATTCACCCAGAACTATTTGTCTTTCTGAAACACTTTGAAAGCATTTACTGACACCAGTGGTACAATAACAGATTCTTAGACAGTAAATCTATAAAGGTCTAAGTACATTCACCAAATCCTTCCATCTCTCTGGAAGCTGCGCATTGTTAAACCATATAGTATACTACAACATGCCCTGTCTTCTACAATTTACTTGTCCCTCACTATGTGAGCCTAGAAGAATATTACAATATAACAGGATATAAAAATATATGTTCACATGGTTATATATAATACAACACTTGGTTTGGGTGATGACAAATATTGCATATGTGAAAAAAAGTTATTTCCTGAAAAGCCCTTGTTGCACCTTGGGTAATGTATGCTGAAGAAGGCAGAGAATTGTGTTGCTTCACTAAATTGTCTGTCCAACAGTGTTACAGAAGTACAATGCTATGAAATGGCTGAAGAAGTCTGTCCAATCTGTCACTCACCTTTCCTGACAGCGTGGACGTGAGGGGGCGCAGAACCACAGAGTCTAAAGGAAAGGCTGTCTGGGTTGTCAGGGATCTTCACAATCCTGAAAGAGGGAAGACCAGTCAGACCAGTGGACACTGTGTGTGCGTGTACATGTGTGTGTTTGAGCATTTGTGTGTGCTCCCTCACTCCTTGTCAGAGAAAGGCCTGAGGAACAGCAGGTCCTCGTTGATCGTATAGATCTTCCTGCCCACCTGCAGACCAGCCATCTGGGTGGACAGATGGACAGACAGGAGACAGAACGCTATTATTTTTAGGCTGCAGCTTGTTTCAGCTCCCTCTAAAGCCGCCATGCAAACAGTAGCCCTTTTCAGGTGGTGACTGCACTTAAATCATCAATTACCTCTCTCATGCCATAATAAACTGTGTACAGCATTAGTCCCAGATGAAGTGTGATTCAAGTTTTTACCTGACAAGTGTGTGTTATTCAGAATAAGTATATGTGCCTCCAAGGAGCACAGCAGAAACAAACCAAAACAAGAGGGAGAAAATCGGTGTACTGCTCAATTTTTTCAAAGCCTGTTCAGTCTTGTTGTGTATTTTCCAGCATATGAACAGGCTTTTTAGTTGGGAGTGCATATCAAGATTGATGACTAGATATGATTGCACTGCATAATATTTACAACCGAGTCTACTGCCTGGTGCCTGTTGAATTTGCACGCATTTCCAAACTGAAGCATCACTTTCTGTTTCCACCATTATGCATATGTGAATCCAGAGATGCACTTGATTTATATTTTTCTTTTAAGGAGACCACATTTTTGTCCGTGACCAGAAGTTATCTTTATCCTTAAAAAAAATATAATTAGATCAGCCACAGTGCATGCAAGAAAGTGAAAAGACTGACAATAACGAATGCACAAACAAATGCACTGTACATGTTCACACAGTATCAAACAAACCTAGGCTTTGCACAGTTGAATATCAGCTTCAAAATCCCTTTTCAAATGACAGAGACACAGCACCACGGCCTGTTGCATGTCATTAAATGGAGTCATCTTGCACTTCTTCAGTCACGTTGTGAGAATAATGCTGCCTCTGTATGTTCTCTGTGTGACTGCAGTGTCCTGGGCACAGATCCGGTGGGGTGGCCTTGGCTGTGCCGGGCCCCAACTCTGGATAACAGCCCAGGGTGGATGCAGGGACGACTGAGAGGAGCCACAGCCATTTGAATGTGGAAGGATGTGTGTGTATGTCTGATTATACTGCATGGGTGCCAATCTGCACGTGACTTTCTATAATAGTATCATATAGTGAAAGAGCCCCGTGTGTGAATGTGTGTCTCTGAACCCTTTTCACAGCCCCATGGGAATCAGCTGAGCTTCATTCACCATGCTGGCACACGGGCTGTGTCACAACTAGCGATCCTGTTATTGTGGGGAAGGGGCACATGGGGGATAAATAACAGAGTGAGAAAGATTATCCAGTGAGTGACTGAGGGGCAATGTGGGAAGAGCTACAAAACTAAGAAACAGAAAACAAAGATTGCATTTGAAGGGGGACACAAGAAAAATGAGGGTAACAAGATATGGTGGGAAGCAAGACAAAGAAAAGATTAGGAGGAAAAGGTTTTCCATCTCTGAACCTGTGGAAGAGGAGAATTCCACAAACAAATAGGACACTGTCCAGTTTTTCAAATATAAAGATGCCTTTAAAAACTGCATATTTGGTTGCTGGTCATATTTGGCAGATATATGCCACCTGTCTAACTACAGTGGGGTGATGTGACAGAAAGATGAAACTGCAGGAAAGACAGAGAAATGGCCTTATATTAGACCTGGTATTAAGGCAATATCATGTGATTTAATCTGTGACTGTTGATGCAGTAACCACAAGTGTTACAAATGACATTTTTTTACTGGCTCTTCCTGAACATAACACGAATACTACACGCTTTATTTAAATCAAAACTCAATGATCATGCACATTTTACATGCTTTCTCACAACTTTATCTGCGGTTTAAACTCCTGTGGATGAGGAAAATGGTGTGTGTTCATTTTTTGTAGGAGTGATGTGAGTAAGCATATCTAATGACTCAACAGCCAATCAAAGAAGAGTCTTTCCACAGGGATCCGAGGCAGACTGACAGCAGCCGTCCAAAGAGGAGACAGCCATTACCTGCTGGAACTAATGCCCTGGAGCGGGATGGAGATACTGAGCAGTACTGACTGTGCTGCAAATGTCACACACGCAAAACAAAAACACAAACACACAAAATGCATGCAGCCTCATGCTAAATCTACAAAAACAAAACTGCTGAGGGAGAAATGAAGAATAATTCTACAGAAACTTAAGTTTTACAAATCTGAAACAAAGTCAATACTGAAAAAATTTAGCCTATCGAGCTACATTAAATCCTCTGCAACATGACAAATGCATTTCTAAACTACCTCCTCCTGAGAAAATGGATTTTCAGTCTGCCCTTCTTCGTTGAAAGGGCTTTAAGATCGGTTGCTGGGGTGACTAATTTTGCTTCTATGGCTACAAAGAGAAGGATTAATTTAGGCTCGATGTGTGTGGATGAGTGAGAGACGGTGACTCAGGGAGGGGAATGTAGCTTGCAGCAAACCTGGTTCAGTGTGCGTGTGTTATGCGTGTGTATTGACCATTACCTCAGCATGTGAGCCCCTGGTGACAGATTTCACCACAATGGCCTTGTTTTTCTCCTCAATCTCAAAACCGTAGTCTTCCTCCTCAGGGTGAATCTAGCACAGAGAAAAATCACCTAATTACTCCCACATTTCCACTGGTGACTGTCACATTTATGTAAATGTCATTCACTCGTTTGGCATTATGAGCAAGTATCTCATATTCATGTGTCATATTCATTTAACTATGAAGCTAACTATGCTCTGTCACTATTTTGCACCCTGTAAAGATCTTGGAAGTACACCTGACTCTTAATCATTGAAGTCTCAAGTTAAAAAGGTGATACACAACTCTCTTTCTGGGTGGTCTTATATACAAATGATCTAAACACAATTTAACTCTTGCATATTTGCATTTTGTGATTTTCATTGCACGCCAGGTGTCTAGCTTCTCTTAATGTTCTCTGCCTCTCATTTTCTATTCCCCAGTGAGGCGAAGCTCTGTGAAATGTTGTCATCACCAAATACATTAGCCAGCTTCCATTAGGTACGTTACTGAGGCCACCTTCCTGCCTCGTGGCCCTGATAAGATAAGGAGCTCTGTTGATCCACCAGAGGAGATGGTAAATAGAATTCCTGCACTTCACTTTACTATTAGACATGAGGGAGGTTTAGAACCAGTCTGACATTAAAAAGGATGCTAGTGATGCATCAAGGTTTCTCTAAACATAATGAACTTAACTAAAGTTGATTTTCAGTTTCAGGTGATGCAAACCAATGACCGTGTTAACATACTAAATAAATAATTCGGTTTTAATAAGCAACATGCTATATACTACGACTTATTGCACAAATTACAAAGACAAAACCTTTTTCAGTCCAATGATGTTTGGGAGCTTTAATCCAGAGAGCAGACACTCTCCATTTTTCCCTCATCTACTGAATCTGTTATTTCGTACCTTACCAACAAGTAAAACAACTGCCTTTCTACATAGTGGTATTTTACAGTATGCCTCATCATGCATGGAAGTTTACTTCAGAAAAAGTTCAGAATATTGTAAATACTGGGAATGTTCCATAATTATGCAGTATTGTTAACAAAAGATCTAATTACAGTAGATGCTTTAACCAGATGTATTGTACATATACAACTTGGTGGCACAGCGGCGCAGTGGTTAGCACTGTCGCCTCATAGCAAGAAGGTTCCTGGTTCGAGCCAACCCGATGCCGTTTTGTATAGAGTTTGCATGTTCTCCCTGTGCCTGCGTGGGTTTCTCTTGGTGCTCCGGCTTCCTCCCACAGTTCACAGACATGCAGCTTAGGTTGACTGGTGACTCTAAGACTACGTTCACACTGCAGGTCTTAATGCTCAGATCGGATTTTTTGCCGAAATCCGATTTTTTTTTTTTTGCGCTGTTGTTCACACTGTCATTTAAATGCGACTGCCATCTGTCTCATGTATGAACGGTATACGGTCCTGAGGTGACCCGCATGCGCAGAAGAGGACGTGACGTCAGACGCAGCGTACTGTGTTTGCGGAAATAAAAATGGATCATCCGTTTCCGGTTTGCGACTAGTATGAAATATGGCACTGTTCTACTCAAGATGTCTCCAAGAACTACCAAAGATGAAGATCACGGATGTCCACCGAATATGCAGTTCGACGTCTAAAACACCGGGCAGCAAGCTGGATAAGGGGTTTAAGCTATATGCTTCTTCATACATCCACGACTACGAAGGTAGAGTTATGTATCGGTTATCTTACAAACGGAGATGTAGCTAAGCTAGTTCGTAAGCTAACTAGCTAATGTTATCGATATTTACACCGAGCATCTGTCTGGTACACCAAAATAATGTAATACACTACCGGAAAGCTAATAGTAACTAAGCTTGTGTGATGGAAATGCTAAATTCGCAAACTGCTGGGCTTCTAATTTTTCACATGCCATGTCCAAGGCTGATGGTTCTGGTCTAGCATAGTCATGACACTGCAGCAGAAATCCGACGTCCATCTGTTCCTCCTCAATTTCCTCCGGCCGCTGCGTTCTCTCCCACACGCTTGGTCTACTTGCAGGCAGAGAGTAGTCATTCCAGGCAAAAAACACTGGAAGGGCTCCTTCTTTCAAACGCCGTCGTCCACCTTGAATTACATCTATGGAGACGAAGTGTCTACTACATACTGTTGTCGTGGTATTTGTGTCTTGAAAAAGACGTTTTTTTTTTAAATTTTTTTTATCTACGAACTAAACAAATAAAACGAGCTCAAAGAACGTGTTTTGCGTTACTACTGTTATGTCACTCGCGTTCTGCGGAAGTGCGCTGACCCGTTTTCCGGTTTGGTCACGTGACGTTCTGCATAACCCCTATAAGAAGAAAGAGCACAAATATTGCTTATGGCCTCGCCTCCTCCAGCGCAGAATTGTGACGTCTGTCGCATTTCAATGACATAAAAATCGCATGAAATGCGACATGGCCATTCAGACTGAAGTCGCATTGCAAAACATCGGATATGTATCCGATTTAGGACCACATATGAAAGTGGCCTGGGCCGGATTTGTGCTGTTCACACTGTCATAAGGAAATCGGATATGGGTCACATTTGGGCAAAAGGATCGGATTTGAGTCACTTCAGCCTGGAGTGTGAACGTGATTGCCCGTAGGAGTGCGTGTGGTTGCTTTTCTACATGTCAGCCCTGTGATAGACTGGCGACTTGTCCAGGATGGACCCCGCCTCTCGCCTAGTTTCAGCTGGGATTGGCCCCAGCCCCCCGTTAGCCTGATAGGATACACGGTGTAGCTAATGGATGGATGGATATACAACTTTCAAAAACTGAATTCCTGCTCTGTGCTGGTTTTAATTCTTATTTAAGTAGACAGTGCTTAAGGTGTCACTTCTGGGTTTTGTCCCTTTTCACTGAGTTCTCTCAGCACCTGTTGTCTCATGTCATGAATGAGGACTGTTAAATGTCAATGTGTTCAAGACTAAAATGACATGAAAACGTCAAAGGTCCTGACATGCAGGCCCCTGTAAATACTTCATATTAAAGTAAAACAAAACACTTAGGCCCTGTATCATGTATATGGAGTAAAGTTAAATGTTTCCAGCATCTTCAGATAAAGATGTGTGTACTGTACAGTGAATCTCACTGCAGTTTTATCTGATGTCTCAGCTGCAGCTTAATCCCAGCCAGTAGAGTTGATACTTCCACAGAATAACCCTCATTAAGATGCATAGTGATCAGAGCAAATTCAAAAGTGTTTTTTTCTATCAAAACCCGCACTCCCAGGAGGAGGAGGGGTTTGTGTGTATAGTGACGGTAATTACATCGAGCTAGTTTGACCAAGGACACACCTGTGTGTGCGCGCACACACACACACACACACACACAGAGGTCTAAACAATCTGTAGTGAAGGACATAGTAGATTCCAGTATGTCAGTGCAATTAGCTACAGAATACAGTCCCATTATATTATATTATTGATAGTACAAACATTGTTCTACATGTGTATACAGGTATGTATAAAAGACTGACACATATGTGGGTAAATGTAGAGAGCTTTGGAAAAGCATCTTTTTTCTCCATTGTAAGTATCAATCCACATTAATCCATTGCTTCCCATCCTGTGCATTTACTTTGCTTGCTTCCATAAAACACATTCACATCCTCTTAATTATTATCTTTTTCTCTCCAAAGGAAACTACAGTATTACTCTGGCATGTTGGACTGAATTTGACAATATGCATCTGTTTATATATGTACAGTTGTGTGAGAGGACATGCAAACGCATGTGTCTGTGTGTTAGTGCGGGCGTGCATGTTCCAGCTCACCACCAGGGACTTCGCCAAGATGTTTTCGATGAGTTTAAAGTCGTTGCGCTGGAGCTGCTTGTTCTTGGTGCTGGTTCCCTCGGTCTCCTCATCCGCATAGAAACGAAAGTACTGGGAGTCGTCTTTGAACTCGCTCTTTTCCAAGACTGAACAGGGGAAAAACCATCAACAACACAAACAGCATGTGACCGAAAAATATCAATGACTTAAATAGAAATGAGGTTAAAGAAAAGCATTTAGCATACACTGTTGTGTGTTTGTGCTCATATGGTCTAAACTGATGATCTACTTTGAAAATTGGACTTTGTAAATGAAAAGTGTTACGTGTTTGTGGGTCATGTGCAACTTCAAAGATCTGCAGAGATACATGTGCCCAAGCAGTATCAAAAGAATCTGCCGCTTAATCTGTCATCGCACAAACACTCTACAGTTAAGTGGCTCATTAGCCAATGACGCTAGCAGACACATCTGGAGCCAAACCACATCTGGGTCATAGTGTGTTTGCAAATCCCACTGCTGGATTGAGCCTCACTCCAACACACTTCAGGTAAGGAGCACATTATGAACACTCCTCCAGTTGCAAAATTTTTGGAGTCTGAACTTAAATGCAGTACAACAACCCCGTTATAAATCAAGCTCTTGATTACAGTATGTGAGTAATTAACAAAACCGTTAATGGGAGAATAAAGGAAAGGTTGTGCCAATTTAACTGTGATCTAAAGGACACAGTAAAGCATACTGCTCTTGCACAAGAACTTTCCACTCACAATGCTTGGTAGTTTTGATTTGTGTTAAGTCAAAGCACAAGCATTAGATATAAATGCAATAGGTGCAAATGCACAAGTGTGCCTAAAATGGCAGGACATGCACCACTGTACATGTCAGTGCTAGATGTGGTTTAACATCTGGCACCAACACCGTCTCACCTCAGCTTTTTTACGTCCACATTTCTCTTATAATACCATGATGTGCTGGAGAGAAAATATCCATGTGTTTGTGTCACAGAAGAGTTGGCATTTGTGGCATGTGAATGCAAGACAGCCAGCCAAGGACATTTCATTATTTGGGTGTGCAGGTGTGGACACTGTAAAACATGGGCCTGCACAGACAACACTGTGAGCCAAAGGTACCCAGTAGTGCAGAGATTTGGAGGCTATATGGCACCTTCAGTGGAACAAAAGCCTTCACAAACCATGTCACACATACTCACAATGGCCTTATGCTAACTTAAGTGTCATAGAGGCTGTGCTGAAATAGGCATAACACCACCTTTTCAGATGGAGAGAGTGCTGCTCCGGAGGCAGTCATACCCTAATGAGTTAACGTTACACATACAATCTGATAAATCATTTAACCATTAAGAACATCTGACAAAAACAATGATAAGACTCATTCTCATTAGACATTTATGTACAGGGAATGGGAATGCACTTGACTGGGTTTTTAACTGTAAATGCATATTATAAAGGATAAAGAATAAGACTCTGACTCAAGTATTTGGGTAAATATGCATATGTATACCAGGGGGGAAAAAAAGGGTCAAACTATTTATAAGGTACATTTCTGGCTGATCTGAGTGTAGCTGGACCTTAAAACCAGGGCTTTCAAAAATATTTAAGGTCAATAAACACTGACAAAATGAATCCCCACAGGAGACATTGTGTCCCAGAGACCAACATTTTACTTGTTCAATATTGTTTTACATAACTGGTAAATATTGTAGATCTAAAGTTGTGGTGGAAGGGAAATGTGGTTAAAATCATTATTCCTCACTGTTGCCTCTATTATTTGTAGTTTATAATAAAGAGACATTTGGGCTTAGGAGATATTTAAACCCACCATATATAATGAGTAATGGAGAAAATATATTGCTGTCTATGCTCTGTACGCATACAGGGCAACATGTAACAGGTGTTCACAAAAAAAGAATGATGGAAGCAGGTAAGAACAGATGACAGGCATATTGAGTGTTAGTGCAATCTGGTGAGAACTCTCATAACCTCATGATAAAAAATGGTGATAAAATGAAACTGAGTCGACAGAAGTTCACAAAGTCAGAAAAAAAAACAGAACAAAGAAGATAAGTTCAAAAGGAACCAGGTGAAGAGCAGCAGATGTGCTGACTACAGACCAAAGAGAGGAGAGGAATGCAGACAGACTGAGCAGAGAGGTCATGACCCTGAAGAGGGGCAGAGAAGACAGGGAGGTAAAAGAGAACAGGTGACACCTTCCAACAGATGGCAGTAATAGGTCAGTGGGTCAGAGTGCCAACCGGACAAGCAAAAGGTGAAGGGAAAACCAGACAACAGCGATCCCAGTATAGTGCCATTAGGATGATACTTCCTAAACCAACAAAGATGGCAGAACGCCAACCCAGTGTTCCTTCTAGACAGCTGTTAGCATCCCAGTAGTAGAGGCATGATGTTTAACACACGCGTCATAAATATTCAAAACAATGGCAGGTGAACTGAGTATTGGTCTGCTTAATTCTGGCTCAAGCAAAATTGGTGTGCATCATGCACAACATGTTAATGATTCACAATCAAATGGCCACACACTCAGATTCATGTGAGGAACAGGCTTGTGCAATAAAACATACATGGGAACAGAACCAATCCCGGTGGCTGGTTGCAGAAATAACATCATGAAAACGTCGCACCCCTTCACCCATAAGCCGCCTTTCACCTTTTACAAAGATGTTGAGCTTTTAACGTACATGTACACGACACTGTGCACGTTCTGATTCATTACTTCTGCTTTACACAAGACATGCATCCTGTTAAATAGTACCTGGGTGCTGGTGTAGCCCATTATCTCCTCTCAGGAGGAACTATTACAACAAAAATAAATATATATAAATAATTAACCATCTTCATCTTAGATTTCAGTCTTCTTACACACTTCACCATATGCATTAGGAAAAGCCTTAACCAGTGGTCATGGTTCAGTGGGCTAAGCCAGGCCGTCATGTGGCAAGGCCAAACACATCTGGTTAGGGTACACTGTTAATGCTGTTTACATTCAACATGCTGGGATACAAGCAAAGCCACTTCACTAGAATGTGGCCAGTGAGGTCGCTGATGCCTGGCTGAAGCAGGTAGATCTATGCTAATCCTGTGACGGCATGACAGAAGAGAAGCTAATATTAAATGTTTGAGGAGACGTCTTGGAGGCAAATCAGGGACAAAATCCAAGATGAGATAATTGTGCATCAAGAATAACAGCACAAACTGAACAAGTCACACGTGTTGCAAAAGAGAACACTGTAAACAATTAGAGACAAAAGACATGCAAGTGTCACGTCACGGTGTGGCCGAGCTCTTTTCATCATGTGTTGAAGAGTCATTAAACTAAACTTGTATACAAATTCTTGGCAGCTCGTGTGTGTTTATCCATCCTTCATGTATGCATGTGTGTGTGAATTTAACTGACCATGGTGCAGGAAACCATTGTTGCAGAGCCCCACACCCAGTGTCACAGCGTCCTCTCGGGTCGAGCAGTCTCCCTGGGAAACCAAATCAGTGACGCACACAGTCGGTCAGTTACAATGCCTGTTTACACCTTCTCACACACAGCAGAATGCAGCAAACCTAGCCTGAGTTATCTGTGTGTCCACTGAAGTGAAGATGGAGACTTGTGAGCAGCAGGCATTAATAAAGGTCTAATGCAAGCAATGAAAGATTAGAGAGCTAATTCTCAAAATTATAGCTGGAACTGTCCTTGGCTGTGAATGGGGACAAATATTCAAAACATAGTTTGCAAAAAATGTGAAAAACCCACACGCATATTAGCCTAATTTGATTTAAGATGTTTATTTTTTTCTAAGTGGCTATGAGTACACTGGAAACACTGCAAAATAGTCAAAATGCACTCCTGCAAAAAAATACTGACCATAAAGTATATACTCAAGAAATATAATTACACAAAATATACTCAATGAAAGTGAGAACAGTGGATGTCATTTGGTGCCTTGTGTAGTCCTTTGTGTCTCTGAACTAGGTGCAAGTATACCAGACACTGACTTTACCTGCGACAGTAGCCAGTCCACCAGTTTGCTAGCAGGCACCACAGATTTGAAGGTTTTCAGATGGTAGTCTCTGTCTCTGTAAGAGCAACAAACATTTCACCAAATGTGTTTTTACAGTACAATGCGGGTGGCATAAAAAGCACACTTCAGTCAATGGCTTTTCATGTAACACAAGCGTTTAAGAGTTAAAGAGTTGCAAACATCCATATTATAAGAATTATGCATTTGTAAGGTACAGAAGTGTCAGTTTTCTAAATCCTGTCAGAACACGTCCTTTTGTAAGATCTCTCAGTGGACCAGTCTGCTCAAAATGTAAATGTGAAAGAGGAAATGCTGCAGAGGATTTTTGACTTGACGGACATATCAGAGCTGATGAAAACCAAACACACCCTCTACTTAATTTAACATCTCAGTGTTTTGAGTAAAAAGTTAAATGGACTTGCGCTTGCATTCACCCATTCACACATGCCGACAGCGGCAGAGCTGCCATACAAGGCTGCTGGGAGCAACTTGGGATTCAGTGTCTTCCACATTCAAAACAAAAGCCAAATACAGAACCTCTTCAGGGCAGATGTACACATGACGTGTACATACTGATACTGCAGACATGGCCATAAAACATTATAAAAGGGAGCTGCTTCCAGACTCATTTGCTGATCAATTATTTATCTGTGAGGGCACCATCCTCTCCAGGATAATACATCTGTGGTTTTCCCCAGACTGATTTGGTTTCTGTCTGTTTTACTATGTCATTATTCTTTAATGTTATGAAGCTGGTGGGTGCTTTGTCACTCAACAAATTTTAATAAAAGTGAGATGCGGTTTATGACTATAATTCGTAAAATGCAGTACATGCATCACTCAAACATTATAATTAATGGTTGCTACTTACAATGGCAGTTCAGTAATGGTCAAAAACAAAAAATACAGGCCATATTACGTAACAGGCTGGCAGGGAGAAGGACTGTCTTTGTATGTTAAATGGATTTGTCCCCAGACCAAAAACTCTTTGTCTGCACCGACAGAAACCCCAGGCACTTGAGTCAGTGGGTGAGTGATGGAGGGACAGAGAGATGGAAGGGGGAGAGTGTGAAAAGAGGAAATGCTGACGGTGTGTCAGAGGGAAATGACGCGCGGTTCCTGTGCTTCTGTGTAAATCAATCTGTACTTAGATTCTGATTCTTCCACATTCTGATCAAAAACCTTTTTTGTGTGTAGTGAAATTCTTCAACTTCAGGGGAATAATTTCAATAAATCACTGAAATAAAATAATTTAACTCTTAGTTTTATGTGTTGCATCAAAAAATTGGGATAAAAATTATAACAAAACTTGGTTTAAAGGAACAATCAAGGATTGATTGAGTCCATTTGCATACTAACATACAGGGGATATTGTGTGTTTATGTCTGTGTTTCTATTCTATACTGTAGTGTTTACATCTCTGAATATGTGTAGTACTTATGGAAAGCAAGAAAGTGAGAAGGTGTGTGTGTGTGTTTGTGTATGAAGGATAAATATAGAGTGATTGATGAGCATAAACTATATTGTAAATATAAATCCAGCTAACACACAATCTTAATCCTTTAAGCTCACATAAACCTCTAGTCATATAAACATAGGAGCCCTTCATGAATATGCATTTGTGCACCTGGAAAGGAGGAACATTAGCATATGTGGAAGAAAGAAGGAGGAGAGAGAGGAGAGAAGGGCAGGTACTCACTTGATGACAGGCGCGTGGACGCTGTGAAGGCGGCAGTACAGCCTGACGCCCTGTGTAAGAAGAAGCAGAGCCGCTGAGTCATAAAACATACACAACTTGGTTAAACAAGTGCAAGCATGGCTTCAGAGCAAGAGCTTTCACTGTTGACTGTGAAAAGACTTACCCCAAGGCTATCCTTTTAGGACACAAGTCTCAAAACCACAATGTGGTCTGAAAACAAATTTCTGCTAATGTAATCACCTTAAATGATTTTTAACCATTACGTCCTTCTTTTGGAATTCAGTTTGCTCTGAGAAGCAGTTTGTGCCTCCAGGGATTGTGTTCGAATATTTGAACAAGCCATTAGACACCAAACATCAAGATTGTGAATTTACAAAGCATTTATTTATTGAATAAATACAATAAATTAGGGGTTTTATTACGTTTTGCTGGTATATAAGTAAGTATTGAAGTACAAAAATGACACAATCCAGTAAAAAGTAGCAACAGGAGGTGCACCCAGTGATGTTGCACCAAACCTTTTCTTTAAATATTATTTTTTATAACTCTGCATTCAATATACCACATACTGTATGCAAAATGTAATAGTTTGTACAGATGCTTACTGCGACTCTGCCTATATTTCCTTTTAATTTACAGTAAAGTGCATATTCATATTTTGAACTCGCACTAATGACTGTTGACTGTGGAACCTGTTTGACCCCCATCTTTTATTTTATTCCTTATCAAACACCAACAGGGATAGCCAGAGGCAGAGTTAGAGCTACCTTAGACATGATATCCTCCATCTCGCTGCGGGCCTTGTAGGTGCCATCGTCATAGCGGAAGCGGTACAACACCTGCTCGTTCTTGAACTGGTGCTTGTCTGACACTGTAACATGACCAGAAAGAGAGAATGTCCCCTGAGCTGGGCTCCAGTTTGTATGCATGGTGATTCGAGGTTCATAAGCCATCAACAGTTTCCTCAAGGCTAACACATCACGCTCTAAGTGTGCCTATGACTGTAGATTATTTAAACAAAATAGGTGTGTTTTTCCACCTTTCCCCAGAGATTTTCAAAATGTATCTACATTTACTTTGCAAAGAGAGCTGAGTGAGCAAAAACTTGCAAACATACAAGTTACATATGTTTGTAGTATAGTTGAGCTTTACTGTATTCTACTGCCAATGCATTAAATATGGTGATGGTACTGGGGTGAGTACAAAACAGGAGCAAGAAGCAAACATTTGGAGAAATACTGCAATTTTACATTCATGCATGTTGGCTAAACCTGGGCATTCAAACATTTAACACAGAAGGCAGCTGCCAAGTCTTATGAAAATTCCCCAACCAAAACTAATAAACCCAGAAACATCTGAAACAAGCTCTTATATATAATTAATCCCACGCAGATAATGGAAAATGACTAATACGTGCACAAACAGGTGCTTGCTGGAGAAGCGAACACTGAAATCTGACAAACAGAGGCAGTTTGGTTCCACCACAACAAGCTGGCATGGACTCAAACAAGCTGCAAATCTTCTCTGTCTAGACTTAAAATGTCCTTTAAAACCAAAGGAACACACCGCATAATCTGCCACTATAAAGGGTCCAACGTGGAACTTAAAGGACATGAGAATGACAGATGAATTATCATGGGAGCAAAGGAGTTGTCAAAACTGCAAATGCTCAGGTGTGACCTGGTGTGTTGCAAGAGCTCAAACAAGTAGAGCTGATTAGATAAAGTCTGTAGGTTGTAGTACAAAATGCATATGGTTGCCTAACCCATAACTCTTCACAAAACTAATGAAAGACTCGGTAGTGGGAGATAGTCAGCTTCAGTTTGCTGCGGTCACATTACCTTTCCGGTTCACTTTCTTTTCACTGACTAACTTGTGACACCTACGCCTTGTCTGCAGGGCATCAGCCTCTCCAGTTTGCCCACAAAGCTCCAGTGGTATCCCAACGACCATGCACGTCATCATCATATCTCTCTGTGGTTGTGGGCTTTTGTGAGGGAGGATTTCAGGGGATTTTCCACAGGCATTAGGCAATATGAAGGTTGGGTCTCAATATATTTCCCTGAGAGTGTGTTGTGTATAAATCGTGACAGTGGTTTGCACTCACTATGCACAAGAGCCCCTTCAGCAACACTCTGGACCCTGGCGGTCATACATAATTCATAACTGTTTGTGTATGTGTGTCTGTGTCTTTCATTTCTCAGTGCATAATTCAGGTTAGTGGACCTGTGAGTGTCTCACTCAAAACAAGATTAGGGAAGAGCAAATAATGTGACACGGATTTCAAGAATTATCATTACCAAGCAATGTCTTGGGATCCTGGTGGTTTCTAACCTAAGGTATGAGCTTAAGTAGAAAGTGGGGAATGCATCCATAAAATGGATGAGAAACAATTATAGAAGGAGAATGTGAACTGGAAAAAAAAACTAGTTGTAAACAACAAGCAAAGAAACGGAGGAAGAGATGACTGAACAAAGTTAAAAACAGAATGATAAATATAACAAGGGGAGCTACAAAGAGCATGAACATGTGAGGAAATGCTACGATTAAACAGAGAAACATAAAATACTGAATTTATTGTCTCACCGTGATGAATAATGCCATTTTCCAGAAGGGCTTGTCCCAAGTTGACCCCTTCCTCAGGTTTACTGATCTCTCCACTCTCTATCAGCCAAGACACAAACTCACTGAGGACAAAAGACAAAGAAGAAGCATATAATGGAGCCTGGTGTATTGTCTCCATCTTTGACCATGCTGTTTTCACAGGGAATTTCACATAAATAACCCAGCACACAAGCACTTTTCTTGGATTTAATCATTTCGGTGCTTCTATTTTTTTCCACCCTGCAGTTCAACATGTTGGCACTGCGGCAAGGTTCTTTAAGCACAATACTGTTTATTCTGTCTGAAAGGTGCGATGGTCACAGTTTCAGTGGAAATGCTTTGGCCACTGGGACACACGCTACACACAATTGTAGAACTCTGCATGCAGAGTTTATCCTGTCTCTTTTGCTACAAGTATCCCTCAGGCCTACACTGATACACATATTAACCATCCAAATGTAAGCACTTTGGCTCTGCTCCCATCTCTCTGTACCCAGTGTGCGCTGAACAAATGTTTGAAGGAGAAAATTACATTCTACGCTTCTTCGTCTTTCATGCTGCTGAGTGAAATGACTTCGCCAGATAATGATGAACAGTGAATTAGGGACAGCTAGTGAACATGTGTCTACGTATGTTCATGAATTCTAAGGCTGAACACGCCACCATGGGAACAATTTTGAAGTATGCGTCCGAGGATTTGCTTTCAGGCAGTCATGCCACAGACATGAGTATATGTATCTGATCGCTCACCATTCATAAATGTCAAGCATACCAGGTGTGTGAGTGTGTGTCCCAGTGTGTGTAGATTAAGTCAACCCACACAATCAGTTGGAATGTTTGTGGTCATGTAGAACTATGGACACTGTGAGCCATCTGCCAATTTTTGTCTGCCTGAAGCACAGGAGGAATATTTTATCATAATTATTAAAAAGGTTTTCCTTTGACCTACCAGGTGATGATATAACCTGTATGTGCTTGTGTGTGTTTTCACTGCTACTTTGTGTATTCACATCTAAGTCGTGGCTGTTAATTGACACTGGCAGGGGAATCAAATGAATGTGAAGGGATATCGGGGTTGACTGTGGACGTTATGCAAGAGCCAGGTTAATTTTGGACATAGAACTGTTATGGAAATTAATATTAATACAGGAATAATGTGTGTGAGCACAGGCGAGGTAGTGAGAAAGAGAGTGAGTTCCGGAAGAGGTGGAAGCTAAGGATAATGAATTAGTGGGAATATCTGCTGACTGGTTGGCCTTTTGCATTGTCATTTTCATAACCAACAGACTAATTCTTACCCTCCTCTCAAGCGTGCCCCTGTCCTACTAGGCTAAGCAATAAGCAGGCACAAATTTGACGTACTTTACCGCCTTAAATGAAACCCTTAAACCCTAAATAAAACACCCTTAAACTTATTTTTATGCTTTCTAAGATCTTTCTTAAGCTGTCTCACTGCCATTTAAATGCATTTATTTCAGTTTGTTCCAGCTCATATTCATTATCCATTGTGTGTTACATCATGAGACCATAGTGTGTATCACACAAGTAAACTGTATTTGGTGTATTTTATCTTGTTTACACAGAAAACACGATATGCTCAAAGTCTGCCTAGAAATAACGCACAGCACGGAAGTGGAATACAGCTAATGTGTTTCCCCCACCGACGGCTACAAAACACAATGAGAACCAAAAACTAGTGGAACAGTAGCCAACCCAGAAACCGTGCAGAACAATTTGTCTTGGAGTCAGTAGCTGAAACCTAATTCTGTCTCCTCCCAGCCCGAGCTCTCCTCTTAGAACAAAAGGTACGGACAAAACAATACAAGGCAATTCAGGAAATGATGTATTATCACTTTAAATACCCAGATTGATGTTATGTAAGCACTGCCATGACAAAAAAAAGCAGCAATTATCCAATAAGAAAATGTAATGCGTGTTAACACAGTCCATTTTCCAGTGTAGACAGGAGACCACTGATGGAATTATTCTATCAAGACAACAGGGTGCTATCACACCGGCTGTCAGCATCTTCCGTTTAACTCACTAAGTGCTCAAACTGTGCCTGCCGTTAATTTCATCAGAAAGACAAATACCGAGCTAATGCAGGGTGCACGCCTCGACAGGAAATGACTGAGTGATAATGTGAGGAAAGTGAGAGATAACAGAAAGTGATTCAAAGTGAGGAAAACGGGCACATTGTCGTTCACACTGGCAAACACAGCTGTGCCGCTACTGTTCTGAACTTGGACCAACAAGTGGGTGAAGGCACAACGAATTAATACTTCCCTGTGAGGATACTAGTAAAACACTATGTTTAACAGTTTAAAGTCCGACAGAAAAAAAGAGAGGTGACTGCTGACACACACACACACACACACACACACACACACTATAGCAGAATGTAACTCCTGAAAGGAGTCCAGACTGTCCAGCAAAGTAGACACACACAGAGAGGAATCACCCAGACAGGGACTTCATATGACACTCCTGAGACAGTGCATGTCTCCCAGAAACACCGTTACATTTTCGAGCAGCTCATTAAACTCACTTCTTGTCATAGACTGATATGATACTAGTCAATGTTATCGTCGAGTCCACTACATTTACGTTGACAGAACAACCCTATTCCCTAAGGGGAAGGCATTTAATGACTTGTAATATAATGAAGGGGCACCATTAGTGGTTGCTCCCTGGTTTCTCTTTAAAAGACAGTCTCCATTGTCGTGTTGCCTGGTTTTATTTATTTATTTATTTTGTGCCATCAACATGGTGCCAGAAAGAATTTTAATTGCCGCTCAGGTTCTTGCAAATCCTAGTATGCATGCACAGCACTGAGGGGAATTTAAGCAAGGGTGTCATTGTCTATTCATTGCACTGAAGCATCAAGGGGACAGAGAAGGGAATGGCTTGTTGCAGAGCCATAGTTAAAGGTCTTCTGCTAATGAAAATCTGGGTGTGTCTGTTCAGTGACTGAGTCTGTGAGAGGAGCAACTTTGCTCTTTCTATAGTCCATGAGAGGAGACTCTGCGTGGGCTTGTTACATGCAAGAGGATGTGGGGTTAAAGCAGTTTAGGCATTTTGCCAGGACTTGGGGAGACTGGATACCAGCTTTTTTGAAAGCCTGCTGATCTTACATAACAACGCTTTGAAAAGATCCCCTTGTGAACAGCATGGCATTGCAGCCACATTCTCGGAAGTTGAAGAAACAAGGCACCGAGGAAGCAAAGAAACTCACTTTCCCATGAAGCACTTAGGCACAATGCTGAGCTTCCTGCGTCGATCCTTAATCAGGTGCCGACTCTTGGTCATCATCATGTGGTAGAGCTTATCCCCCTTCTCTGCAATCATCACATAGGCATCCCGCTCCATTCCCAGTTTGAGACCTATGAACAACAGAGAAACAAATTTCTGATTTGTGAGGATCTGTCACATTTAATGCCCTTACCATTCATGCTGTGTGGGGAAAAAATGAACAAGCAAAATCTCAGCCCAACAAAGTGACCATGTCGGCGTGCCAGGAAAAGTGCAACAAACCCGTGGCTCGACACAAATTTCACACAAGCTTTCCACAGCTTATTACACATATCAAACCTAAAAGGCAAAGGCTATAATGGTGTGGTTAGAGGAGACAAATGGGCCTTTGCTGGGACAGCCTGGATGTGTTCTGGTGTGGAATGAAGCCAGGATCAGAGCATGGCTGATTGGGGTCTGCCACAACCTTCTGACACAAACCCTGATATTAATCTCCCACAGACAAATAAATACAAGTAGAATAAGTAAGGTTCTGGAGGTCAGTGTGATCTTGATCTTGTTTCGGTTCTGGTTTGGTAACTACTATTCCCCCTACGTAAAGCAAAACATGTGAGAGTCCATTGTAAGGCCTACTGCCCCAGTGAGTACGCTGTTTGAGCTGCTTAACCTCAGCAGAGTGTTTGATGAACTCCTGAACTGTACTGCATGACTTTCTGAGTGGAGCAACTCAACTCTGCTGCACCGACTCCCTAAGCTGCTTAACTCCACTGGGGGAGACATCAAGATGCGAAATTTAACCATAAGGTATTCTGATGAACAAGCTGCAATATGCTGGATAAGGTATGATTTGCGACTGGAAACAAATCTAATTTGGGTCTTAGTCTTGTCTGGAACCCCAGGCTTTCTTTCTGCTCAGCCTAGTGAATCAGTAATATCACCCAGTTAGTAGTATTTCTGTTTTTCTTGTTGTCTTTCATAATACTAGCTGTAACAGTGTTAATATTCTCAATTTGGGTGGTCACATATTTGTTACTTTGCTGTCAGTGAAGAATGTGAAGGTATGCCACCCCATGTTGAATGTTGGAACGGGGGAACTATTTTTGGAGGTATGTGCTGTATTTACCCAACTACATTCTTGTTTTATTTGGCTAAAAAGTTGTTTAAATCATGTAGATCTCACTTTACTGACTGTGGTAATTCAGAACAGATAACCTTAGCTTACTGTACCTAACTTGTAGAGGACCTAGAGATGTTGTTGACGAGAGCAACAGACTGAAAAATTACTCTGCAGCCTGATCTCAGCTCTCCGTTCAGGAGCTAATGCTAGCTATCAGCAGATGACACAAATTCTGCAGATGAATACATTTCTGTCCTATCTGTGCTCAAATCAAACACTAAAGTGGACGTTTGGACATAGTTGAAGCACCTGCTACTGTATATAGCTTTAAGGGATAGTATTTATTTTAAATTACAAACATAACTTATGTGTATATATCTATGATTGATAATGAGCGTAATGCTCCAAACATGGGGCCGCGTGACGTCAGCTTCACATTCTCTATTGATTAATTGGCTGATTGTGGCAGCTCTATTCTCAGCTTTCATTCTAAGCACGACAAAACCATTTGAACAGAATTACAGTGGTAGGAGAACAGTGGGTAAATCTGTCTGCCTTCGTGTGAGGCTTTTGGACTACAAATGCAAAGTACTTCCTCTGATGCAGCTACAGATTGAATGCGCACAGTGGCGGTCAGCTGGCATGTGCCTGTAGTCTTTGCAATGCGTTATGGTGGCAATTTTTTCAGAAGACATGAGATCACATGAGGCAACGAATGCATTTGATCAGTCAGCTTTCTTGCTTTCCGTTCTGTACAATAAAAAAACTACACAATTCAGCTGAAACCAAATATCTTTTAAAAAGCAATATGCAACCATTTGAAGGTATAACGTTGAGTGACAAGTTTTGTGGTGAGAGTTTTACAAGCTGAAAGGAACAGGCATGGGACAAACAATGTCAAATGTTACACAGCTAACTCTTGAATCCTATTTTCCCACTGAGTCCTTGAGGTTCTGCCGTGGCAGTCTGTGCTGGAGGTGGGATTGTATTACATTTGACGGCAGCTGGAGCAGACTTAAACAATGAATGTCTTTTGAACAACAGAAAGGGTCTGTCTAGCACAGAGGCCCCTCAGCCTTTGGTCCAGCTGTCAGAGTTCATCTTGTGCCACTCTCTCCGTCTTCCTGCACTCATTGGTATGAGCTAATAGCCTTTCACGTTATCTGCCTCACGCACTTTCCCTAAACTTCCATGAAAACAGTGATGAGACAAAACACCTCCAGCTGGCAGTCGCTGAACAGTGAAAGTCTATTAGAAGGGTTGAGGAGAGCCACATGTCCAAGGCAGAAAAGAGCCGCAGCAATACGTAGAAAAGGTCAAATTTAAAAGGTTGGTTCGGGAACAGCAATAATGCATGAGGTGAGAGAAGTGGAAAAAAAAATCATTGCCAGGATTTATTGCAGCCAAACATTATCATGTGGCTATCGAGACTGGAGGAAAGAGGTTGAGAGAAAGAGCAGAGTATACTGTTGAGAGGGTAATAGAAAAGGCAAGTGTGGGGAAATTGGGCACTGTGACTGATCCGGCATCTGTTAGCCTCAGGTCGATTTCCGCTGGGCTGAAACGTAACACCACAAGCTGCAGGACGCTCCTTCAGACTTACTCTAAAACCCAGGATCAGATGCTAATGATGTAAAACTCTGCTAGGAATACTTACTAAAACAAGATCTAAATTAAAATGAGTGATTTGCAAAAAATGCAAATATGTATGCTAACAGTTGTACTCCAGTGAAGTGCAGGTGCAGTCAGTCAAACCCTTAAATATTCATTTTCACCCAAATCAAGCTCCCAAAAGCTGCTGCTTTTGGGATCCAATTTTGACCATAAGTCATGGATGCTATCAGGTGGCCAGTTGTGTCCCTCCTAAAATCTGGTTAAAGCCCTTCACACTGTGTCATGTACACAGTCTAACAAAGACAGATGGCCAGTGCTGAACAGGTGGGAACACATTTTAGGGCTAAAGAGTCACATGATGAAGGGAGACCAACTTAAGGAACAACAAGCATATCAGCTTTCATTACTAATCCCAAACCAGTGGAAGTCCTGCTGGGGCTTTTACCATCAGTGCAGGAAATATACAGTACCCTGTGATGGGCACTTTTGATTCTCTGCTAATCAAACTAATTCAAACCATTTCCACATTCACTGTATGCCTGAACAACAAACTGTCAAAAGGGATACAACTCAGTTTTGATATCTATTAAAAGAAAAAAGTTGTATTACAGTAAAAATAGTTCCAGAATAAATGAAGGTGATGTGTGTCTTTGTAATCATACTTCAGTTTGATATTTCTATTTATAGCAGCTTCACTTCAGGGCTTCAGTGAGTCAAATGCCTCTACTGCATTGATCTTTTTAGAAGTGAAGAACACGTTGTTGTTGCATCCTCTGTTTGGTGCACAGGTTACCCAGGCCAACAGTAAACTTCATGCCACCAAAGTCTCTATTAATAAAACAAAGGTTCAAAGCTTGTTCAAGGTGGTACATAACTGCTGAGCACAAGCACCATATCTAGGTCATGAACACATTCATTTCTGTGTGCCAGTTGAAGGACAGTCAGATAGTTTGACACCAACATGAAGGGCAACAGAGTGCAACAGCAGAAAACACCTCATAGCCACATGACTACAACTACAAATCAGGCAAATGCAAATTCCACAGCTGTCACATAAAAGGTGTTTCTAAGGATCTGTACTGGCTACACTATTTGATGGAAACGTGATCTGTAGGAAATGCAGGTGAACACTGCAATGTGTGAGCAGCACAAAAGATACAATAAAAAAAGAGGATCTTGGAGGTTGGTGAACCAATCCATTATCATCTGCTTATCTGGGGTCAGATTGTGAGGGCAGCAGGTTTATTAGGGTGGTCCAGAGGTCCCTCTCCCTAGTGACATTCTCCAGCTCTTCCTGAGACGTTCCCAGGCTAGATGAAATATAAAATCATGCTCAGAAAACCCCCCGTGGAAGTCCAGGAGGCATCCTGATCAGATGCCCAAACCTTTTCAAATGGTTCCTTTCAATGCGAAGAAGCAGCGGCTCTACCCCAAGTTCTCTCCGTCCAGCCACCCTATGGAGGAAGCTCATTCCAGCCTATTGCTACTGCAATCTCATTCTTTCACCACCCAAAGCTTGTGGCCATAGGTGAGGGGTGGAACTTAGATTGACAGCTGTCTGTTCCAGCTCAGCTCCCTCTTCACCACAATGCCCACATTACTGCTGACACTACCACAATCCACCCATCAATCTTACACTCCGTTTTTACCCTCACTTGTGAGCAAGAGATACTTAAACTCCTTCGCTTGGGGTATCAACTCACTCCCAACCAGAAGGGAGCAATCCGCCCTTTATCCAGCAGAGGAACAGGAGCCACAGTTCAATTTCATGCTGTGAATTTGTCAAACACGGTACAAAATAAAAGAAATGATACTCACTCTCTCTCTGCTCACGTTCCCTCAAGATGGCGTCCAGCCACTTCTGCTTGTCCTCTGCGTTTTTGGCCATGCAGACAAACCACTTGTTTTTAGCAGTGTTGTGGATCTTCCAGCCATTAGTCACTGTGTAGTTGTTGCTGTGATAGTCCGCTGCAAGGCAAACAATTCATTTTTAAAAAGGGAGTGGGCGTCATCTAATTAAAATACAATGTACTGATGCAAAATATTTCTCTATTATTTGTCAAGCTTGTTCTGCCTTTCTCCTTTTCCTACTATGTTTTGTTTAAGCATTGGGGATTTTTAGAAAATGAGATAAAAACAAACGTAAACAAATATTATTTGCAAGTTAAATATTAATGTAAGTTATCTCTAAAGAGGATTCACTATTCAAAGATTTACAAGCCAATAAAAACATAAACATAATGCCCCAGGAGTGCAGTAAAAGAACATCTCACAACAAAACCCCTCTTCTAATATTATCATCCATTTAGCTGCAGGTGAGCAGCTACTGAATAATGAATGGCCACTGGTAATGGGGTACATTAGTCTCACACTCCAAGGTCATATAAATAGATCTGATACTTTAGGCCCCACAGGGAGCAGCAGTTCTGGGACAGCAGGGAACTGGGCTGGGACACTACTGTCCCAAGTGTCTTTTTAGCTACTCGGAGAGAAAAGACGGATTCTAGTAAAGTCATTTGTAAATGCAGATGTGGTAAGGTGGCATTTATTTATTAAGACAGAGGTGCATGAATCAGTGAAGGTGAGGGCATTTTTACATCTTGCAAACAGGTTGTTATTTGAGTTTACTTCTTTTACTGCAATAAGTTCGCAGCATATTGCGTATAGTCTATGAACTCTAGGTTCCCCCACTGTTATCATTTCAGCACTGTAAATTAAGTATTTCAATTCATGTTTTCACCAGATAACTCCAAATACTGCCAGATTTCACATCTTTTACAACTAGCAATCAGATGATGTATTCTAGGCGTTCACATATGTACACACTTTTAATGTTGGACCCCTTAGTTCTTCGAATAAGGCATGTTTTTCTTTGTGGTTTCCCTCTCAGCAGCCTAAATGTAACACCCAATGTGCAAAAAAAGGTCATGTGAGCTTGCAAAATAGTCTTCCAGTGCTGAGGACTCAGAAAAGAGGAAACAAGTGAGAGAGAGAGGAAGATGAAGTGTTTCTGCACAAGCAGAGAACACGTACCAAGCCCAGCATAGTGCCTCACAGCAAACCACAACATCAATATGAGCCGAGTGACAACTGTATCACTAGCAGCCCGCAGATGAGTCGCTGATCTTCAGTACCATATCCCAGCCAATACAAAAGCATGTCAAGTTTATCACCTAGCTCGGGCTGCTTTTGCATTTCAGATTTATATCAGCACCTCAGCCCATTTCTGAATAGCTGGCATCAAAAGGTGGTACGAGTTTGCAAGCTACATCCTGTTTGAAACTAGGTGAAAGTATGACACTCCACCCAAACTGTCAACAAGTACCTCATTCATATCCAGCTACCAGTTTCTAAACGGCACACTCTGATGAACTAGGATAGGAAAATGTGCACTGTAGGCATATTGAAAAATAATAACTGCTATTGCTAATGCACAGTGAAAAATAAATCAAGAGCCTGGGTTATGTTGTATCACAGTCCATCAGGGATAACCTGAGAGAATTTAAACAAACGCTCCAGGAAAAGCTCCATGACTGGACATGTAGACAGTCTCTACAGGTATCGTCACTGGGCAAACACAAACCTGTTCCATCTTCCACATTTTCCACCTCCATCACCTCAGTGTTGATTCGGCCTCTGAAAACATAGAGGGGCCCGTTCATAGACTTGGTCCTCTTGGTGGACTTCTTTCCAGAAACCCTAGGAAACGCGACAACACTGTGGTTAAACTCAGGAGGGAAAACATCCGTTGATGCAGTGCCATAGTAAGAAAAGAACCTGTGTTCGCAACACACACACACACACACACACACTTCCATACAGACACAGGTGTGGTGCAGTTGTAGATGTTTTTATTTTTCTCACATAAAAACAAATCAGTATACAAAAACAGGAATGTGAAGGTTTGATCCAATTTTTCATGATTGGATTCTTTCCAGTAGTCAGTCAAATAAATTATGAATGCTTTATTGTTCTGTCTCCTCTGACGTGCTGTTATGATTGTCCAGATGCTGCGTTTCTCACCTGGACTTCCTCTTACAGTAAACCAAAAGGTTGTCGAACAGGAAGAAGACACGTTCTTGAATATTGCCTGCTGAGATTTTAAGGAGATTTCCATGAAGCAGCAGCTCTGTGCAGATATCGGTCAAGTTGGTTCCCTGAAGAAAAAACAAAGATTGAAACGTGTACAGGATAATTACTCATCTATTCAAGACTTTTCATGGTCGTGTGCTGCGGCCAGTGTTTGTTGTTTGAGCAGAATATGGAAACTCTGACAGCAGTCTCAGTCTAAAATGGGGAGTTGTAAAGAAAACACTGTTGTCTGTATTACAACTTGAAGAGTTCCCAACCTCAGTGAAACTATCTGAAACTCAAAACTGAGCAACTGGTTTTCATTCCATCATCAAAGACAGGAACATGTAAACACACTCCACCCAACTTCAGTTTAGGCCCGATGCAAAGCTGCTAAAATATTAACTGCACACTTTCCTCTGCCTGGACAGCTAGCCTCTTGCTAGTCAGTCACTAAACTTGTGATAAGAAAGAGATCAAAACCTCAGCAGCAGCACTGAAAAACTATTACCCTGGCCTAGATGTACAGTACAGTAGCTTCCTGTGGGACTATTAACAAACAAACAAAATCTATTCATTGTCCTCTCAAGGTGAAAAGCTGCAAGCTACACATACATGGCTCCATCTTTATAGAAAAATGCAGCTGTATGCATATGCACAGACTAACAGGAGTCATGTCAAAGTACAGTCGGTGGGTGGATGTGCTTGAGCCTTATTCTGATCCCCGCAGTGAAACCCAATCACATGCTTTGCATGTCTGTCGTGCTAAGGAAAAAATTAAAAACTGATATAAAAGCCTAATCCACTCCACTGTTCTTATTCTGGAAGATGTATTCTATTACTCTACAGCCTACCACCTTCACAGGTCTTTCTTAAAAGCTGCATCTGGTGAGCTATCAAATACACCGCAACCTGTTATGAACTGCTGAAACTGTTGATTGTGGCTCATTGACTGACCACAGCGTGGTGTCTACTTATCCTTTTCAAAAAGTGGCTGAACCTCAGGATCGATTCCTGACATTATTTAGACTTCATTATTTTTAGAAAATCATTTTCGCTGTTTTCACATTTGCAACTAGGGAAAACAGCTTTCACGGATACAAGCATGAGCAACCATGCACTCACTTGTCGCTGTCTGAACTGTAAATGACATATGAATCTATTTCCTAATATGCAACTTCAAACAACCAGGGACACATTAAATGAGTCCCTGAGCAGAAATCAGTCAAATGCTGTCAAAACATGGCTACTAAAAAAATAAAAGAATGGAAGTTAACAGACATCTTAGAACCCACTGTTAAACGGATCATTCCACTCCAAATCATCTGGAACTAAATAGACCCATGTGTGGACTTAGGTCAACCACCCCCCTCTGGCTTGTAGAGTGAAACCCACCTCGCCCTACCCCCACCACATCCCCACAAGCACACACATATACATGAGATTTGGACTTTACTGTTGTCTTTGATGTTTCTGACATGGGTCCACCAGAGACCTGTGGAAACCTCCTGCCAGCCACACCCGCTCTTGAGCATCCATAAGTGATTCCCACGAGTATATTTTTATGATGGATGTTCACAGAAAAGAAAACAATTCTTTGAACTTTTCTGAAATTGTATATGATTGAGTCGAGGGAAGGGACAGTGTTTGAGACGTCCGATTCAACTTCATGTAAACTGCACTAAGCTGAGGCGGAGTGAATATCAATGTATGAGAATTCAGACAGCATACTTGTACCTATGCATGCACATGCATGCAAGTCTTGCAGGCATATCTACACTTTTCTGCATTTTTAATGCATGTGGAAGCACACAAAGTGTAAAAATACATAGCGGCGGAGTACGTGTGTGTGCAGCAGTAATGCATCTGAGCCTTATTCAGCAATACTGGTGGCCTCTTCCATTAGGGCTGGAGGTGATTAGCCCAGAGAGAGCCAGGAGAGAGGAAAGAAGAGTGAGACTAATGCTGCTGAAGGCTCTGTTGGGGTGGGGTGGGGGGTTCAGGGTGAACTGCCTTTCCATGCTTCTATCAAGTTGCTCAGAGGAACAGAACAGGGAATTTGAGGTTTTCCAGTGAATGAATCAGATGTACATCTATGTCAGTAAAAGCTGGATTTTGGATGTAACCTCTAAGTAGACAGCCCACCATCAACCCCGCTACTAATCCGACAGTGTTGTTGTCAAACGACATTCCAAACATTCCTTTTACTCATTTTTAATCAAAACAATTAATAATTCTGTGTATAAAATATCAAAAAGTCTTAAAAATGCCAAAAGCATGTGACATCACGGTGGCACAAACCACAGACACACGGTTCACCCTCCCAGTGCATGTGAGACTAGCACTCTACTGCCTAGGTCCCCTCTGATTGGGCAGTATGCCAGTTGGCATCCCCCTTGGCACCCTGTGCAGGTGGATTGTCCCATTGGTGCTCGCTAAGACAAGGTCTCTGTTGTAGTGGGTAAGGGAGGCGTGAAAAATTCACTGGACCCTTTGCTAGGGTCCCAAGCCCCATCAGTGGCCCTTGTGCTCTGAGCAGTGATTTTGCTGCAATAGCACTTAACTCTTAAGACTGATGGAGAGCATGATGGTTAAGGTCTTTTTAAAATAATTCTGGTTGGCAGTCTCACAGAAATTTCTTTTCTTCTGTTTGCAGAAATCTTGAGATGATCATGCTTCTGTTGCATTTCAAGATGTTCTTATAAAAGTGTACTGATCAAGATATTTCCTTTTCTTTTCCCTTCAGTTTTTAACCTCTAAATGTCACAGTACTAACCCCTCCTCATAACTACTGTCTATACTTGTTCACGCTGACCCCCCCTCATTTTCCCTAACTCGGTCCTTCTTGCCCTCACCTCCCAGCCGTCAATGTGGGACTGCAGCTGTTCCAGAGCCTCCAGTTTCTCCATTTGCCTCTTGGTCTCATTGATGTTGGAGCACACTGCCTTCATGGCCTGCAGGGCCTCTTCCACCGCTGGATAGTCAGCATGCTTTTTAGGAGTCCTCTTCAGCAGTTCCTACAGTGCGGAAAGAGGAGGTGGGCTGAGTTTTATATGCAGAAGCGGGATCATTAAAAAAAAGGCTTTAATGGCATCAAATCGCCTGTGACCATCAGTAACAACTGCTCCTACATGAGCTCCCAACCTGCTGCCCCTAAAGTTAAAAAACTAGTAGGTGGGGAAGACTGGGAGCCTTGAAATGCCTGTCGGTGTAAAGGTTTTACTCCAGTATGTTTGGCTAATAGTATAAAATGAACCAAAACAGATACATTATGATCTGCACCTTATCTATCTATCTAGGGTTTCTGGTGTCAGCTGCCATGCTAGCTCAGTTTTTCAGAATTTCTCACTAAAGCTAGGCTGGTATTATTATTTGATGCCGCCCCATGACATGATTGCAGCAGCTGTACGATACCTTCAGCAGCAGAGGATACTTGCAGATCCTCTGGATTGGAGTAAGAAGGTAGCCCTCCAGGGGAATATCTGTGCTTTTCTTTCCTCCTAGTAGCATGCAGTGCTGAAGACAAAATGAAAACAAACAGTAAGATGACAACAGTTTTCATTTTAAAGCGAAATAAAAAATAATAATTAAATTGTCTCAAATACAACAGTAGGAGGAAAGGCTATGAACACAGAAATATATTTTATCAGTAACTGCACATTATACATTTCCATTCACCAACCCAGAAGGATTAAAGTGCTTATGTACAAAAGGGAGACCCAAAAAAAGTTTGGCTCCATGAGTCCAGCCTTAAAATGTGAGGTTTTAATTTAGCTTTACCTCCTGTTAGGAGATGTTTTTCCATGGTCAGCAAATCTCCACAGGACTGTTCACAGTAAAAATGAACTAAAGATTAATCAGTAAGTTGCTTTTCGGAGTGCATCTTGCTTCAGTTACAGAGCAGAAGAACACACTTAACTTTCCTACAGCTACTATACAAAACATTGAAAACTTTTTATTATCTAAGTCAGAGTCAGTATGGCAACTGTTAGTGCATTTGCAGCTGTTTTCATCGATGCCTCATGCCTTCTGTAATGTTTCAGCAATAAACTGACTTTAATTGTTGTCGCCGCTGTCACTCCCATGTAGTGACAGTCTGTTGTACAGGCAATAGATCTGCAACAGACCCAAGTGCAGAATCATCTCTCTGTGTTTGTGTGGATGTGAAGCCTTTGGTGGATTCCATTTTCCACGTGTCTACTGCTTTTATTAAAATGTTATCAAACCTGTAGACACATGTATGCAGACTGATACGTGGTCAGAAAATGGAGCAACTGCTGCCACTTAAATCATTTCTGTGTCCAGTCTCTTAAAATAAAAAATACATGATTATCTATTTGTACTTTATTTTTTATTTCATTTTGACTTTTTTGCATTTTAGTGTTGTGCTACTACTACTGACTGCTATAATTTATTAATTTAAAGACATTGTTTCTTGACCTCTGTCCTCCATGCACAGCTTTGGTTTTGCCAAGCCCAAACCACGAGAGCAGGAAAGGTAAATCTATTACTGGCAGAAGCATTTTCTGAATGGTTTCAGCCCTATATTAATTTGTATGAATGCATCAAGTCGGTACAGTAGGGCTTGTACAATGTACATCAAAAGACCATTCACTCAGTCATTCAAAAGCAAAAGCTAAAAGATGAAAGCAAAAGAGACTTGAGTGTTATTTCTATGGCAGTTCGATTAGAGACATCTCTATGAGTGTTTCCTCTGTGCCATCTAAACCCTCCAAACTGCTCAGGTTTTTCAACAAAAGGATCATTGAGAAACCAGTAAACTTCCCTCTCATTTCTCAGAAGCTTTAAGAAGCTTCGCCTCAGAACCAGCTGAAAAATAGATTTTTGCTCAGAAGGGGGGGGGCATGGCTTCTCTACGTCTTGTATTTTACAGGAGCTGTCAGTATGATATGAGCTCATTGGATGGGATGAAAGTTCCAAAGAAGCCATGTAGATAAACCAGTTGAGTGTTCCCCAGTGGGAGAGAAGGATCAGCATGGAGCATTTTAACCATAAACAGAGCAAGAGAGGAGGGCGGAGGGTTCACGTAGCATTTTTGATGGAAAAAAGCTAAATAACTTCAGATTCCAAAGATTCCCAATGTATTAATCTCTCATCTAGTTCTCCCCCCACGCCTCTGTTTCTGTCTATATTTTTCGCAGCTTCCTTTCTATCTCATCTTCTGCTTTTTTGTAATGTGTCAGCCTGAAGCCAGAACTCCCTCCGCTCTTCACTTTGACCTCCTTTTGCTTTGACTTCACTTCACGCTCCTCTTCAAATGCAATTAACACTTTACTTCAACATAAAATTTCAGAAGCTCTCTTCACTGTGTGATTCAATTAACATGGAAATCCAGAAAACCTTCCAATAAAATTATACACAGCAGCCATACATATTACACTGTCTTTACTCACTAGGACACCACTCTAATTGAAAAACTTTGCCTACCTGTATATCCTCTTCTTTTCTAACACACAAATCACATATTTTCTTTAGCAAGTCACCATATCATTAAGTGACAATGCTTTAGATAGTTTCAAAAATGTAGCAGATCAGTCTTGTTTCTATTTTGCTGATGGTTGCTACACAAAACACAAGAACTCATCCAATATTTGACAATATACTGAGCAGGTCTGACAACTGCTTCAATACATAACCAGATGTTGTGTAGTTATTTTATTTTGGAAGCATTACGGCTGCATAAAACCTAACCAATTCACCACTATGTGACTAGGCCAGGAGAAGGAAGCAGTCAAAGCAAACAGCAAAATGCTGATCCCACTATTTAAAATCCTGTGGGTCAGAATAATTCCATAGAAGCAAACCATCAGGCAGCGACAAACATGGGGACTCAGATCTCTCGGCCAATCCCGAAAAGGCTGCCAACAGTCCACAGCTGGCCGGCCCCGAATTTGAAGATGATTTCATTGGTTGGATCCCCTCTCAAAGGCCCAGTCACCATTTTAAGTTCATTGTCCAGGGCCCAAAGGTTTGGATGTCAAAACATGGAAACAGCTGGCAACAGAAGCACTACAAGAGTGACACAAAAGTGACCTTAAGGGCTGTTGCATCCTGTCCAGGCAGGAAGAACCCTCTGCCCTTGTTATGGTTTTCTGCCCTTTATTTAAGTGTTAACATGGAAACAGAGGTGGCTTGATGGAAGAGGAAAGGAAGAGGAGGTTGGACAGCCAGAAAAAAGAGACAAGTGGGAGAAGAATCACAGGAGGAAATAAATATAGGCCAAAGGAAGGAGGCAGTAAAAACACCAGGAAGAAAATAAGGTGAGAGGTTTAGGTAGACAAACATCAGTCCAACCACAACTAGAGGAAAGGATTTAGAAGATTCATGTGACATGGCACGATGAAAAAATGGAGAATTAAGCAGAAGATAGTCCGAGTCACAGCGAAAAGAAGGAAGTTTGTAAAACTGCAGAAGAGAGAGAGATTCTATAACTTAAGTGCAAAGAAAACGTGAGATTTCTTACCAGCAGGAAGGTCCTAATGTTGGGGATCTTGTTTAGCTCCATGAGAAGTCGTAAAGCCTTCTCGTGGTTACTGCAGTACTCGCCATATACTGAGAAACTCTCCTTCTGCAAAACAAAATAAAAGCACAAGTCAGGATGGCAGCCAAAGGACCAGATAGCATATTTTACTGGCTAGTTAGCAACACTGAGAAAAACACTGAGACAACTGATGGGAGGAAGACTGACACGTTGAGCTGGAGAGAAGGCTTCGTTACTACACTCAAATGAGATTCCGTTGTTCTATAACGAGAAAAGTGGTAGATAACTGCACTTCCACTGCTGCCATTACTTATAATTTGTAGTAGCAGCAGCAACAACATTTGTGATGCCAACTGCAACAGTGATTAGACAAAACTGCTAAAAAAAAAAAAAAAAAAAAAGGGTCCCAATAAGCCTTTGAAATTGTTATGTACTGTGTTATTATTCATCGTCATCAATTGTCACACTTCTCTATTCTAAAGTGGTCTACGTCATAGTGGAAAAGGTATACCAACACACCAGACTTCCTCTGTTTCCTTGGTGACAGCACGGCACTGTACAAGAAGACAATACAGCTACGGTACAGAAGCCTTTGTCAAGCTGCCTTTTAGTTTCCTTTACAATATGTAATACAACACCTGGGCAAGAGAACACACTGCATCTTAAAATGCATTATTTATGCAGCAGACCACAATGTATACACTGCATCACAGCTGCAGCTGAAGCCTATTGTGTATTCTCAACTGTGCTACAGTAGTTGGGATGTGAAACCATGGGCAGAGTGGGGCCTAAGCTTGAGGTCTACAAACTGAAACCGTCATCTGAAACAGCCCAGTAAGTGAAATCTAAAATGGCAGGTGCTTGGACACCGCTTTCAACCTTAACGGAAAACACTTCACATACACAGACAAATGCCCCACCTTAACCACATACATTATGTCAGTGCATGCGTGTTTTACAAAGGAACCCAGTAATGGTGACAGAGGAAGCTAAACAAAGACTACAGCTATTTTTATAGAGCTGTGTTTCAGCTTCATTCTGTTCTAACCAGAAGGAGATGAAAATCCTCAGTTCAATTCCCTTTAATGATGGGGTTTTTTTTTTTTTATAGATGTATAACACAAGCCAGCAGCACAATGTAAACTATAGCCAGCGTTTACCACACACTGGCAGGAACACAAACACACCCGTGACGTTTGGCAGGGGATTCCAGTCCAAAGCACCACTGGGAGCAACAGCTGGATTGGCATATGGTGTGAAACCCCACATACTGTCAGACTGAGTTAATACACCATCCAGCTAGAGGGATGAGCACAGGAGGATCAAGACTTGTACATGTACAGTACCACTTTAGTTTTTGACACATGCAGGGAGGGGTTAATTATTTGCTTTAGTAACAAATTCTGAACTCTCCTCCATAATTAGAGATCAAAATCTACACAAATGTCTTTATGTTTCCACCCATTTACTGAAAATAACACAGAATTAACATGATTGATAACGCCTGGTCAACAGGCTTTGGTTTCTGCTAATTACAGCACAGATATAAAATTGAGAAGGTTTAATATTTATAAGGTAAGGGGGTTTAGCCACTGACAGTAGCACTTTGTCAGAAAAAGCAGTAACAAAACCCCAATAACAAATACAGGGTTGTATGAAAACAAAAGTGGCTCTGGTTCCATGTCGTCCATGGCACAATGCCAAATGTACCAGTTTACTGAATATCAATTACACATGGGCGCACAACATGTTGTGTCCATGCAAAATTCATGCAATCCTGTTTTGTCGAGAAAAATATTCAAAGATGCTAAGTTTTATTCATTTAACAGAAATGTAAGCTGCACTAATGTGAATGCTAACACACGAAAACACTGCAGCACAGTCCTTAAAAGTGTCACTCTGGGCAGACTAAGCAACTTGAAAATACTTAATGTTCACTAGCTTGCTATTCATAAAACCAGTAAATCAGTAGAATATCTTCTGCCTCCCTGCTCTCATCAGGGCTACTTAAAAATAAAAGTTGGAAACAAATCAGCTGTGCCCAGAATAGCTCCAAGGTTGTCCCCATTTGATAAACATAAGTCTCTATTTAAATTCTTCGTCACTGGAATGTTATTCCAGAGGTTAGATGAGAGAGTAGCATCACAGACTGAGGAATCGCAGTGAGTCAAAGCATAATGGGTGTAGTTCAGAAAGTGCATAATGACAGGACTGTTGCTTCTTGCATGGTGCTCACTGCCAGAGCAAACATTGAAGTCTGTGATTTCTCCTCTAACACGAGTCACTTTTTCACCTTTGCAGAGGATGAATGATCTGAAGCCCACTGTGGCTTACTTGTGTGTACTTGTGTGTTTGGCCAGAGGTAGGGGTGTAAAAGATAAACCGATACGAACATCAGATTTCCGGCTGCATCGGTTGAAAACCACCAATTCGAACCAAATGAGTTTTAAAAAATGGTCCATTGTTGAACCGATGGAAACAGGACAGTTTGCTGCAGGGGCAGTCAGCTTGAGGGTAGCAACAGTGCTAGTGTTGTTAGCAGCTTCTTTCAGAGCACATCAGCTGATAATTCCACCCAGTTGGGTTGAAGTCGATACCTGAAGCTATAAGCTATTTCATTTGCAAGCACACCAGTCCCCATTGTTTACTACTGTTAGAAAGAGCAGACCCCATGCTTTATCTATTTGGCTTTTGCTGCTTGAAACACAAAACTGCTCTGAAATCACCCAAAATTTGCTGCATCGTTTTTATATTTAATTGTAAACTATTTATTTAGATACGTATCGAATTGTGTGGGAGGGAAAGATACACACCCCCAGTCAGAGGAAAGAGACTCATCCCTTTTTGCCTGAAGTTACAAATAATAATACAATTTGGTTTAAACAGCACAATTTATTTACTTTACATTCAATAATAGTGATGAAGAAGAATGGCAAACGGTTATTTTAATTCCAAATCAAAGAGTGGTGCACTTTATTATTGTTATTATTTTTCCCTCTGTGGCCTCCTGAGCCATCTTGGTAACATCTGACTTTGAAAAGCAATGAATGTTCCCATTTTTCTTCCCTAACTGTGAGTGGCAGACAGCCTTGTGGAACAATGCGGGAGGTTAATCAAATCCCAGTCATGGTGTTGACCTCTGGTCGAAGTCAAGGGCTATAGCTGCAGGGTGGCAGACAGGGCCGACCAATTGGCTGAGAGGTGTCAGTGCCGAAGGAGACAAAGGTCATGGTTCGGAGAGGGAAGTGTAATAGATATGCAGTAACAAAGGTGGTGTGTGTGTGTGTGGGAAGCTCAGTAATAGAAAGAAGCACAAACACAGTGCCACAGATTATTACACACACACACACACACACACACACACACACACACACACACACACCACAAAGGTGGAGGAAGACAACCATGAATAAAGTGAAGTAAAAAATGAATCATTTAAAGAAACAGTTAACCATTATGGGATCTATACTTATTTGCTTTAATAAACATGTAGCTGAAGTCAGCAGCTTATTTTAGCATAAAGAAGGGCAGCAGAGGGAAACAACAAGTCTGACTCCCTTCTGCCTGGCAGCACATTAGATCATGTTTGCTTAATATGTACAATTCTTTTTAAATGGTACATTGTGGTTTTAAGAGATGAACTATTTTTGACTTCCTAGAGTCCTGTCATTACCACCAGGTAGCCAAGCAACCAGCAGACATCACCAAGAAATAGTCCGACATAACCCCTCATACACTTTGTTGAATGCTGAAATACATCACTTATTTATTTATTTAATTTACTTACTTAGGACAGCAATCAAGGACTATATTACAAATAGATAAGCTTTGGCCATAACAATGATACATGTTAAGATGATCAGTTAATAGTTTTGTGTTTTTTTATGGAACCTGTCGACCTTCATCAAGAAAGTAACAATATAATGTTGTTTATCTTTTCATATGATATATAAAACGTATGTCTTGGGGTTTTGGATGGTCTTGGTTAGACATAACCAACAACATGAATATGTCACACTGGGAAATTGTACTGGGTACTATTTTTCAGTACTGCATGACTAACTGTGATTATTATGTACAAGTTTATCACTGTTACAGTCTTGATTTATCGCTATGACTCACACCTTAAAATGATATCCAATACTGCCCTGAGTCACAAAGGTTTCTTTCCTATCCTGGTATTGAGACAGACTTGAAGAAAGTTAAAATTATGAAGCAACAGACGCCGTTTAGACTCCCAGTCTGACCACAGAGCAGCAGAAAACAAGCACACAATGCTTCTTTAAGCTTGACACATGGCCTGACAGACTGAATGACCATGACAGCTCACACATGTGTGAAGGCACAGGTTGATGACCCAATTCAACAACTTTCCCAGATGTGACTAAACGTCATGGCACAAGCAGGTCATAAAAAGATTGATGGTGACTGATGGTGTCATTTCACTACAGAGTGGTGGTGTGGTTCATCAAATGGCATGCAAGTTGGATTGTTAGCTGTATAGACATTTATCAGAAGCAAAACTACTGTCAGTGGATGAGTTTAATCTCATTGGAATCAAAGAGCCACAGTTTTAGGCTCTAATATTAGATTTGGGTGGACTTTTTTGGTGATACAGTGATGACTTTTTTTTTCCCTCTGTAAGAAAACAAAACAACCGGTCTGCTTATGATCTCCTCCTACATTTATCCAATAGACTGAAACCCTGCTGAGGGCTTTGTGCATTAGTGAAAGTGAATTTAGGAGAGTTTAATAGAGAGACAGAGAAGAAATTTGAGATTTAGTGCTACCAGCAAAAGCATTGTCCCCTTGTGGAGTGGGACAAAAGAAAGATGGAGGGAAGAGAGAGTCTTTTGCCTGACAGGATGCATGCTCGTTTGGAAAAGGAGGGAAGGGGTGGAGGTAGTCTGTGAATGTGTGTGTGAGAATGGGAAGTCCAGGAGATGGGAGGGGTGTGCGTGTGAGAACAAGAGATTTAAGGGGTATTTTCACAGCACGCTTTGCACTCATTCCCTGCATCTGTGGTTACGGTTGCCCAAGAAAAAAGTGTGCGTGTGTGTGGATTTTTGCATGGAAGAGGAATTCGTGCATCCAGGCGCCTCAACATGCATGTATATGCGTGTGACTGCCGTTTCCATGTGTGTTTTTCTGTGTCGTGCACTTACAAACTGGAGGAAAACATGTCCGAGTGCATGCTGAGGCTGGGGGTCGGGCTGCAGACTGGCCTCTACGGCAGACAACACTTCTTTGTGCAACTCCAAGATGTCCTCAATATTTGAAAACAGAATCTATAATAAACAGGGACGATGTAAAAGGAGGGGATGCAGAAGAAGTAAGAGATAAAAAAGTCAAAATAGAAGGAAGAGATGTGAACAACAGATGGAAAGAGTTGAGAAAATAAGATAAATACATTTTTTCTGAGCATCTGAGTAAAAAGATACATAATTTTATATATTTTGACTTGTTGGATTTGTCTTTTGTCTGCAAAAAAAAGTCATTCAAATCCAGTCATACCTTGACATGTTCAGGTGAGAGGCACTGCTGGTCATCTGCAGTTTGTCTAATTCTGTGCAAAAATGCCTGAAGAGGAAACAGAAACAAGGCAGGTCTTAAAGAGAAGCATTGTTTGTTACTGTTGATAAAGCATGGTCCTGAAACATTTACTGCACATCTAAGAGAAAGCAAACATGGAAAGTATTGAACATGCTGACAGAGTGTGATTCAACAATTAAACACAGGTTTTTGAAATTCTGAACATGTGTGCATGAAGTGGAAGTCCAGGTTCCCCCTACTGAGTAGTAATGTTGCAGTATGTACTCTTTGCTTTGAGGAAACATACATATCATACATACAGTTACATCACTCAACATACTACATGGAAAATTGCCTTTCATGGTGCAAGACAAGAGTGTCACAGTTGTTTCGCTATCCCTTAAGTACCGCAGAACTTTCCACTATTTGACAAGACATGTTTTTGCCCCCATCTTTTGACATTTGGGCGTCTTTAGACCTGGAGGTCATTTGCACTAGTACGACTCAGTGGACCAGTTTGTAAACTTGGTTCGTTTTCCTTTTGGTTCAGTTTCTTTTCACACAGTGAAAAATCCAAGTGAACCAAAGTTCACCACTATCACGTGAGAATGTTCCCTCTGCTCATTTGTTAAATGAGTCTGGGGCAGGAATGGGAATGTAAACACAGGAAGAAAACCCGTGTTCTGGACTGGTGACTATTCCTGTGAAAGGAATTTGCTCTGCAACATCGAGAAACTGCACAATTGACATTTGTTCATAGCAGAGGTAATTATTTGGGCAATATACCAAAAAAAATCTACGGCAAATAGGAGCCGCTTAGCTCAAACTTGCTCCTTGTAGCAGGTCCATATCCAGATTTGATCATGTTCCCAAATGAACCACTCCAGATTTGCTGTGGTCCACACCCGAGTACGACTGCTGTGTTCAGACCCACACCAAGGGGGGAAGTAGCAGAATTCGATTCAGCTGCACTAAATATGGCAGGTGTGAAATCACCCTTAAAGCTTGACACATGGATCTTCCTAATGCACCTGAGCATTGCAGCACCTACACACACCACTTCACCAAAGACAGCCGTAATAGGCCCGTGTCAAGTTGAGCTTTGTATGTGTGCGCAGTTTTGTTTGCATGTAAACGGCTGCCAATCTGAATCTTGACCTCGAAAAAAAGAACTGTGAAAAGAGGAGAAGTGAATCTGCTTCTTTCATTCCCTCTTACCCATCTATTGCATCATGTCTGAGAGGATTAACCTGCCTCAGTCTGTCTGCCTCATCTCCAGATGCCAGTACTGTCTTGAAAAGAAAGGGCATAGAGAAGAGGAGATATGTATCCCCAAACCACCAAATAAAACTCTCCTCCCGAAGCCTCCTTCACCTGCTCCTGTGTCTGCCTTCCTTTCAGTGCCTCGAGCCTGAAATTTGATAGCTTGCCACTTGGATGAAGGGTGTTAGAAAAGATAAAAGCTTCAAGTTCAATCATGAATGCACATTACAATGAAAAGTATTACTGGAGGTTCCTGTTGTTGTTCTAGGCTGGCTTTCATCAGCCGCTTCAAAGCCACAATAACAAAATGAGCAGCACAGTGATCTGTAGAAATACTGCCTGTGCACTCCTGGATCAGTGGTTCCAGTGGTTTCCAGCCACATGCCATTGAGATTTCTGACTCCATACTAACACAACAGGGATGACATGAATTTTGTTTCTGCTGCACACATAAAAAAAAAAAAAAAAAAAAAAAGTGGAAATAGCTGAACTAATATGTAAACTGAGTTAAAGGAATTAAAATGTTTTGAACAAAATATGCCAAATTGCTCACTTACAATGTTATAGAAACTTAAAAAAAAAATTTAAAAAAATTAATGTAATATAATCTGAAGTTTGAAAGGTGTCCGAATTCAAGTCAGGACCTTCAGTCTAATCAATCTGACCAAGTATTTGAAACTATTGATACTTAACATTCCTTGAGACTTGTCATCTTTTGACGCTACATTTTCTGGTCTGTGTTCAAAATCCATCCCACAACATGTCACTGGAACTACTTTCCACCTTATGGAAGCTGCTGACGCAGCCAAAACTATCTGTATGGGCACATAGTACTCAAGGTTAAGAATGGCATTAACTTCCTTGTAATTTGGATAAGCCAGCCCTCTGTAGAAAAGCCTCGCATAGCCCCTCATATCATCAGCCTACTACATGTATTACTTACACTAAGCCACTTGCCTATAATGAAAGATTGACACTTGTAATACACATTTGCCCTAAAGATAGAATCCAACCAGCGGTCAGGCAGCAATCCTATCATTTCGTCAGAGACCAAACACTTTGGAAGAATTGCCCTGACTTTTTCCTTCTTTACTAACTTTTGCTTAGGCTGTACCAAAACAGAAAGCAAAGATCCTTAGCAATGAGGGGCAGCCTGGCTAATTAAGACAAGTATTAAAGGGAAGCAACAGTCACAATGTTCTTGATGGGTTTTGAGAGGGAGCTGGCAATGCTTGGGGTGTACACTAATTAAACTTCCCATATGGCAACATGTGTCGTGTCCACGCTGTAGGAACCACTCATGTGAGACATTGCTTCTGGGCATAAATTGGCAGGAAACAAGGCTTTCCCCCAGTTGCTTTCAAATGAAGGAAAGAAAGATGAGGGCAGGGTGGGTGACCGAGAGAGCAAAGGATGAACACAAAAAAGGTGAAGGGAGAAATGTGGAATAGAGGGTGAGGTAAAAACTACAGTGTTCAGAGTCATTCTTTGACATCCAAGACAGCTACATCCAGGCAGGAGTTAAACAGAATGTGCCACACAGATGTGGTGACAGTAGGATCAGCAGGGAGGCTGGTGGGGCAACAAAGACATCCTTTCAGTCCAGGTCTCGCCTCATTCTCACCCCCGGAACTATTGGCTGTCTTCATTTTTCATCACAAAGCACACAGGTTTATTTGGAGAGAAAAATTGGAAGCTTTCTCTGTCCACCACCATGACTGAGCCACTGGCTTCAGCGGAGCCAGAGCAGACAACAGAACTGGGCATAACCTGAGCATGGACCCCAAGCACATCTGGGTTTACTCAAACTCTGGATGTCTGGAGTGTAATATTTTGAGAGCCAGGTTAGAATAAACAACATGAAATGGCCCCAAGCAGAGGTATTATGGTTATAATTGTGAGGATGTTGACATCTGATGGACAGCAGCTCATTGTGCTTGCAAAGCCAAGCATCACAAGCAAGCAAAATGCAGCCTGGACTCATCGTAATACTCAGCTTTTTCTTGAGCCCTTTACAGTAATGACCATCAATCAAAGTAACAGCCTGCCAAGAAAGTAAACAAGTGAGTGAAGTTACACAGGCTGGAATCTGGTTGGCTCCAACTTCCTCCACAGCCTAAATCTGTTACTCACCAAGATGACAGGTTACCAATACTCAGGCAAGCTACGTGAAATTCCATGTGACTTTTGTTAGCAAATCCTGATTAGTTTTGTAAACTGGCAGTGTGAGCAAAATGCTAAACTGCAGCACAGTCAATATTTTCCATTCCGGTTGGGATAAGATAAACAGATGTGATTGCTACTTCAGCATATTATAGTTCATGCATCGTTTGCTTGCAGAGGGCAATACCTAGGAGCAATGCACACACACACAGACATTAAGGTATAAGATGAATAACGAAAGAGTCAT